ATATCACGCGATTATAGAAACGAAAACAATGCAAATGACCCCTAACCCTAACCCTACAACAGCTAGCCTGTTTCCAGAAGATGCCTCTTCGGAGAGCTGCATAACACCATCTGGTGCAAGCCCACGGAAGCTAAACGATTGACACCTTCTGACGATAAAAGGCAGGACTGGGATTGAAATATGGACTGTTCGCACCCACTATGAAGCAGGAAAGACCGCCTAAGTGGCAAGCGAGATGCAGATCTCAGTTCCTGCCATCTGCGAGAGCAGATGAAATGAAGCAGGGGGGGTTAGACTTGCAACTGGAGAGTGGTTACTCTACTATGGGCATGAGAAAGAACAGCATGCACATGTGGAAGGAGTGGCAGTCATGTTAAGCGAGTCAGCGTCAAAAGCCTTGATTTTATGGAACCCAATCTCACCAAGAATTATCGTGGCAAGGGCACAAAGGTCAACATCATTAACTGTTATGCCCCAACCAGCAAAATAGTAGATGGCCAGCAAGAAGAATTCCACAGAAGTCTCCGAGGTGTTCTAGATCACACACTAAGGCGAGACATCGGAATTCTTCTGGGTGACTTCAACCTTAAGATTGGTCATGATAACACTGGCAAGGAAAGAGTCATGGGGCGACACGGGCTTTGCCACATGAACGAGAATGGGGAGTGTTTTACCGATTTCTGTGTCTGCAATGACTTAGTCATCGGTAGGAGCATTTTTCCCCACAGAGCCATTCACAAGGCCACGTGGATCTCCCCCGGAATCAGATAGACCATATTAGCGGAGCTCCGGCGGCCCCAAGGGCCACCAAGCGGAGCCCCATACTCATATAGGAAAGAAAAGGAAACCTATGAGTTGATTTTCTCATGGTTATCATGGCTAGCGGTATTGCTCGTGGGCGGGTACGCACGACGACGACGACGACGGAGTCGCGCAACATGGCGGCCGTACTCCAAATAATAGGTTGACAGAGACATGCAACCTTGGTTTACCGTGTACTTCTTTGATGTTGGACATCCATGTTATGATCAATTGACACCTGTCAGACAAGGTATCCGCTGACGAGTAGCTATTAGTTCTATTAATTAGGATTAATCTTTGAGGTCCTTTTCGAAAACCACATGTACGTGAAAAAGTTTCCTCAGTAAAGATTATTATTATTATTATTATTATTATTATTATTATTATTATTATTATTATTATTATTAGCGGAGCTCCGGCGGCCCGAAGGGCCGCCAAGCGGAGCCCCATACCCATATAGGGAAGAAAAG